AGCTTCTTTTGCTCAACTAGCACTCTACCACTTGAGCCACAGCGCCACTTCTGGCTTTTTTGGTGTATGTGGTGCTGAGGAATTGAACCCAGGGCTTTCATGCATGCTACGCAGGCACTCTGTTATGAAGAATAGCGTTATGAGGTAAGAGAGCTCTCAGTAGTTCACCAACCCACAAGCTTTCCTGATCGCCTTGGTCAGTTTTCTTCAACTCCATCTTCATTCTTCCTTTTTCCTCCCTGGGGCTTTGGTGGATGAGCTTGAAAGTTACAGTCCTCCAATCACTTATTCTGGTGACCTGCCACATTTCCTTGCAGATAGCCCCTTCTAAGCTTATTAGTGTAAATTCAGGTGTGATTATTGTTGTAAATACTGAGACAGACTTTCAGTAATTTCTAGTTTTGTTTTTTTTTTTTTGAGCCCTGTGCTAGAAACTGGGGACAGAAGACATAGTGAATTACAAAGATACACACTTGCCCTTTTATTGTACCTTAACACATTACTAAAGTAATTCTTAACATAATTTCGTAAGGGGTATAATAATAGGAAAATACAGTTTTTTGGAAGACACATTTGTTAGCAAATACTTAATCTCATATCTTTTTATACACTTGCTACACTTGCCTGAAATGAACCTTGGGGCTTGAGAATCATAGCACATCTGTAGTTGAGATCCTCCCCTCTCTCAGTACAAACTCTTTTCCCAGGGGTTGTTTCTGGTAGAATTTAGTTGGGAGCCAGCCAATAATAAGGATACTAAACAGAGTTCAAATAGGCTCTTTAGATCTAGGTCATACAGCTTCATGGACTTTAACTTTGAAATTGTTAAAGGGTAATTGGATCTCTAAAATGTTAGCTGGGCACTAGTAGCTCATGGCTGTAATCCTAGTTACTCAGAAGGCTGAGTAGCCTGAGGATTGCTGTTTGAAGGGCAAAGGCCTGTGAAACTTTGTTTTTTAATTGTCTCCCTGAGTTTTTCTGCTCAAAGCTAGCACTCTACCACTTTCAGCCACAGTTCTACTTCTGGGTTTTTGGTGGTTAATTGGAGATAAGGGTCTCACGAACTTTCCTGCCCAGGCTGGCTTTGAACTGTAATCCTCATATTTCAGTCTCTTGAGCAGCCAGGATTATAGGTTTGAGCCACTAGTGGCCTGGCTAGCCTGTGAGATTTTTAATCTCTAGTAAACTACCAAAAAAGCCAGAAGTGAAGCTGTAGCTTAAGTGGTAGAGTGCTAATCTTGAGCACAGAAGCTCAAAGACAGCGCCTGAATTCAAGCCCCAGGACTGGTATAGGAATTTAGAAGATACTAGGATTAGTTTTGCTGTCTCATAGAGGTAGATTACTGGGAAAGAAGGTGAAAGATAGATACATGATATTTCATAGCTCTTTTCCCTTATGGCTGGCAGAATCATCTTTTCATTATGTAAATTGCCCAATCCTAATTCTAAGTGATGCAAATGAAGATTACAATTAGAGAGGTGTAATATTTACTTACGGGTGTGAAATAACTTTGCTCCACCATTCTGGGTGGTGTAATGACAGTTTTCATGCTTTAGCAGTTCCATATTATTTTAACTGGAAGGGAACATTGGATACACTAATATTCTGACTTAAGTTTCCTTTAAGTTGCTGATGTTAGCATTTTATATATAATAAATAATAAATCTAGGGCTGGGAAGGTAGCTTAGTGGTAGAGTGTTTGCCTTGATGCATGATGTCCTGGGTTTAATTCCTTAGCACCACATAAGCAGAAAAAGCTGGAAGTGGCTCAAGTGATAGGGGTGTTAGCCTTGAGCTGAAGAGCTGAAGGACAACACCCAGGCCCAGAGTTCAAGCCCCATGACCTACCAAAAAAAAATAATTAGTCATTTATGAAGGTTACATATTGCAGTCTTCATATTTAGACAAGGGATGATGGAGTCACATGAAGATTAAAGTGGCATATTGTTATAGCCAGTGAGACTCCAGAATCTAGCAAGGTACCCACAATCAGTTTCCAACAAATTGTTGAGCGTCAGGTTAGAAAGCCTAAAAAATGGAAGGCTTGCTGGGTGCTAGGTTTATGTAATCCTGGAGGCTGAGATTTGGGCATCACAGTTCAAAGCCAGCCCAGGCAGGAAGGTCTATGAGACTCTTATCTCCATTTAAACACCAGAAAACTGGAAGAAGAGCTGTGGCTCTTAGTGGTAGAGATCTAGCCTTGATCAAAAGAGCTCAGGGACAGTGTTCAAGCCCTGAGTTCAAAAGCCCCATTACTGACACCCCTCACCCCCCAAAAGGGGAAGATTTGTAGAGAAATAGAAAAGGGAAGAGCAAACTCTTAGTAATTCTGTCTTCTTGCCTCCCTTCCAATAATATTCAGCAGTTTTCTGCAAGGTGAAGAAACAGGAAGTGAACTTAACTCCTACTTTTTACTTCCTTTTTTCCCCCCTTGACTTCCGCTTTTGGTTGCTGGCAACTCTCTTGGGCCTGTAGTTGCCAGTTTAATGCAGTGATTATACTTGTTTTTTTTTTTTTTTTGGTCGGTCGTGGGGCTTGAACTCTGGGCCTGGGTGCTGACCCTCAGCTCTTCAGCTCAAGGCTAGCACTCTACCACTTGAGCTACAGCGCCACTTCCGGTTTTCTGGTGGTTTATTAGAGATAGGAGTCTCACGGTCTCTCCTGCCCGGGCTGGCTTTGAACCACGATCCTCAGATCTCAGCCTCCTGAGTAGCTAGGATTACAGGCATGAGCCACCAGCGCCCGGCTTATACTTGTTTTCATTAATGCCATTTCTTAAGTAGAGGAAGTGTGATGAAAGATTTAAGAGTAGACTTGAGAGTTGGATGACTTGGGTTAAAATTTCCATTCTACCACCTTAGGAGCCTTCATATAGGTGCTGTCTCTGAGTTTCTCTGCTCAAGGCTAGCACTCTACTACTTTGAGCCACAGCGCCACTTCTGGTTTTCTGGTGGTTAATTGGAGATAAGAATCTCAGACTTGACTTTGAACCAAGAACCCCAGATCTCAGCCTCCCTAGTAGCTAGGATTACAGGTATGAGCCGCCAGGGCCCAGCTAAAGGAATTTTGTTGTTGTTACTGGGGATCAAACAGTATGTCTGTACTAGACAAGAACTCTCCCATTGAGCTAAATCACCATTTCTAATCCAGACAGTTTTGATGAGTAATGTGAGAGTATATATAGTTCCTCTGATTACCCATCCCTAACTAATCCCTTATGTAGTTTCTTTTTTTTTTTTTTTTCTTTTAAATACTGAAAAAATTAACAGTTCCCTTATGTAGTTTCACATTCTTTTGTTATGCCCCTGACTCCTGAGGTTTGAACTCCTGCCCCAGACTACTGAGGTTTGAACTCAGGGCTGCCTCCTGATTGCTGCATTAGCAATTATGATACAATTAGCAATTATGATACAATTTTTGTGTTCATTTAACAGTTCACAAAGTTACCACACACACACACACACACACACACACACACACACACACACACACTTTTGAAGTATAATTGAATCTAAGATTTTTTTTTTTTTTTTTTTTGTCGGCCATGGGGCTTAAACTCTGGGCTTGGGCACTGCCCTTCAGCTCTTCAGCGCAAGGCTAGTGTTCTACCACTTGAGCCACAGCGCCACTTCCAGTTTTCTGGTGGTTTATTGGGGATAAGAGTCTCCTGGACTTTCTTGACAGGGCTGGCTTCAAACCTTGATCCTCAGATCTCAGCCTTCTGAGTAGCTAGGATTACAGGCATGAGCTAATGGTGCCTGGCTCTCTAAGATTCTTTTTACCCTAATTTCCCTCCCTCCCTCCCTCTCTTCCTTCCTCCCTTCCTCACTCCTTCCCTCCTTCTCGCCCTTGGGTTTGAACTCAAGGCTTGGGCACTGTCCCTGAGCCTCTTTGTGCTCAAGGCTACTTACTACTCTGTCACTTGAACCACAGTTATTTCTGGCTTTTTCTGAGTAGTTTATTGGAGAGAAGACTCGTGGGCTTTCTTGGCTGGCCTGGCTTTGAACCACAATCTTCAGATTTCAGCTTCCTGAGTGGCTAGGATTACAGGTGTGAGCCACTGGTGCCTGGCTCAAAGTTTTGAGGGAAATGGCTGCTGATGAGTTGGATACAGTAATTCACACTGGTAAATTTAGCTACTCAGGAGCAGGCGGTCTTATTACAGTTCAAAGCCAGTTCAGGCAAAAAGTTAGTGAGACCTTATCCCAACAAATAAGTCAGGGTCATACATATTTCTAGTCCTAGCCCTGTGTAAGGCATAGGTAGGAGGATTGTGGTTGTAAGCTGTTAAGGGTAAAAAGTCTGAGCCCTGAGACTATATCCGAAAGATAACTAAAAAGGCTGATTATGGGATTCATATGATAGACAATCTACCAAATGGTAGGCCTAGAAAGCATGGCCCTGAGTTCAAACCCCAGTGCTATCAAAAGAAAAAGGCCAATAATTATTTCAAGGTACCCTCAATATTCATGAATATTGAACTAGTGAACTAGGCAACTTGATGTTCCAACAGCTGTTGAGGCGAGTTCCTCAGGTTACTCATATTTGGAATGGGGTGGTAGAAATGTGCTTTGCTTGTTTATAGACCATATTCCTGAAGCTCTAAGTAAAGCAGCTCTTGATTTGTGATGTTTCACATACAGGTGCACATATATGTGTGTGTATGTGTATGTATATGTGTGTACATATGAAGGAAAGGTTTCACAATATTACTTGCCAAGCTGCATATGCTTTTGTTGTACAAAGAAATATACTGCCCCACTTTGGGCTTTTTAGAAGTTGAAACAACCAGGAATCAGAAACTTAGAAATTTGACCTTGTTATTGTGACTTTGAGTATCAGACTTTCTCCTTTTAGACCCTTTCAGCCATAGTAGTCATTTCTAATTCTATTATATGCTGTTAATGAAACCTTTTGCTAGTTAAAGGAGAAAAACTACATATATGTGTATGTATATCTCCACATACATAAAATAAATATCTTAAATCTTCTTTTGTAGGTCATCATCAACTTTGAATTATTTAAAGTGGATACAAAACTATTTCTGCCATGCAGACAATTAAGTGTGTAGTTGTGGGCGATGGTGCTGTTGGTAAAACATGTCTCCTGATATCTTATACAACAAATAAATTTCCATCTGAATATGTACCAACTGTAAGTATAAATGCTTCCCCTCTATTAGTGAATGTAGCATTTGATAACTTTTGAAAACTTTCTCTGTGTGTATTGAAAATTTTCTTTCTGTCTTTGTTTCCTATGTTTAAAGATCTTGACCATTTATGGACAAATTATATTCATTTTAACAGCTGAGAATCAGTGGAAAAGGGTGATACAAGGATTTGCAAGAGGTGCTGGAAGTCAAAACTCCAGTAGATAAGATTCTGAAGAATGCTGTTGGGCTGGGAAGGTGCTTCAGTAGTAGAGTGCTTGCCTTGCATTCATGAGGCCCTGGGTTTGATTATTCAGCCCTATATAAACAGAAAAAGCCAGAAGTGGCGCTGTGGCTCAAGTGGTAGAGCACTAGCCTGAGCTGAAGAGCGGAGGGACAGGGCCTAGGCCCAGAGTTCAAGCTCCACGACCAACCAAAAAAAAAAAATGCTGTTCTCAGTTTGAAGAACTATGCTGTACATCTTAGAATTCAAGAATTTTTTTCCCCCTGGTGCCTCCTGGGATGAAGGTGTTTTATAACTTCAGAGAAAGTGGTGTGTCTCCATTTACTTAATGGAGCTGTTCCCTGTAACCGTAAAGGAGCTCCAAACAAGGACCTAGGAACAGCGAAGAGAAGACCTATTTTGTAATCAAAATACAGCCTTTGGGAGTCTTACCCCTTGATCAACCCAGTGGAATTATGAACAATGCATAACATGTCCTTTCAGTACTGAGAGTAGTTGGGATGGTCTGAAGAGACCGAGCCATTGTAGGGTTTGTAACTTGATAAATGTGGGACTAATCCTCTTTGGAAGTGAGAAGGAAGTGTATGAATACTTTAGGTTACCCCAGAGAGATGTAGGAGTTTTATCAGGCAGGTGAACATAGACTAAATATTTGGTAATTATGTTCAGTTGGAAGTATCCATTTTTAGTGTTGCAGGGTAAGAGTGATGAGTTAGCTTCAGGAGTACAGGAAGAAGATTTATAGAGATTTTTGAAGTTGCAAGGGACTTAGGCTGTTACGTAGATCTTGTACTTTAGTATTAAAATTACTCCATTATATTTTATGTGTGTTATGTACATGTATGTAGGTTATGCAGGTATGTATGTATGTGTGCATACATGCATGCCCAGTACTAGGGCTTGAACTCAGGACCTGGCACTGTCTTCCTGATGTTTTTCACTCAAGGCTGGTGTTGTATTACAACTTGAGCACAGCTTCACTTTCGATTTTTTTTTTTCAGTGCCTGCTTGCTTGCTTACTTGCTTGCTTTTTCCTTCCTTCCTTCCTCTTTCCTTTCCTTCCTTCCTTCTTTCTTTCTCTCTCTCTCTCTCTTTCTCTTTCCTTCTTTCTTTCTCTCTTTCTTTCTTTTTCTCTTTCTTTCTTTTTCTCTTTCTTTCTTTTTCTCTTTCTTTTTCTCTTTCTTTTTCTCTTTCTTTTTCTCTTTCTTTCTTTCTTTCTTTCTTTCTTTCTTTCTTTCTTTCTTTCTTTCTTTCTTTCTTTCTTTCTTTCTTTCTCTCTTTCTCTCTTTCTTTCTTTCTCTCTTTCTCTCTTTCTCTCTCTCTTTCTCTCTTCTTTCCTTCTTTCTTTGCTAGTAGTACACTACTACTTGAGCCACAGGCCCATTTCCTGCTTTTTTGGTAGTTAGAGGTGAGTCTCATGGTCTTTTCCTTCTGGCAGATCCGAGCCTCCTGAGTAGCTAGGAATTCAAGCATGAACCACCAGTGACTGACTCCACTTCTAGCTTTTTGCTGGTTAATTGGACGTAAAAGTCTTACAGACTTTTCTGCCTGGGCTGGCTTGAATCATGATCCTCACGTCTCAGCCTCCTGAGCAGCTGGAGCCAGTGATGCCTGGCTAGAATACTTTTTTTTTTTTTGGTGGGTCATGGGGCTTGAACTCTGGGCCTGGACACTGTCCCTCAGCTCTGCAGGTCAAGGCTAGCACTCTACCACTTGAGCCACAGTGCTACTTCCAGTTTTCTGAGTGGTTAGTTGGAGATAAGAATCTCACAGACTTTTGTGCCTGGGCTGCCTTTGAATCGTGATCCTCAGACCTGAGCCTTCTAAGTAGCTAGGATTACAGGCATGAGCCACTGGTGCCCAGCTTAAAATACGTTTTTTTTTTTTTTCTGTCGGTCGTGGGGCTTGAACTCTGAGCCTGGGCGCTGTCCCTCAGCTCTTCAGCTCAAGGCGAGCGCTCTACCACTTGAGCTACAGCGCCACTTCCGGTTTTCTGGTGGTTTATTGGAGATAGGAGTCTCATGGTCTCTCCTGCCCGGGCTAGCTTTGAACCGTGATCCTCAGATCTCAGCCTCCTGAGTAGCTAGGATTATAGGCGTGAGCCACCAGCGCCCGGCTTAAAATACGTTTTTTTAAATGAGCCTGATAAGTCAGATAAATGACAGTGAAGTGAGTAATCTATTCATAGTACCTATTTAAATTATTATGGGAATGGAATTGGTGTGAAATGCGTATTTGTGCCCATCCACGAATTGAAAGTTTTCATTTGTAGAAGGATAGAAATTTAGAGCTGTGAAGGATGATACATATTATTTATCTCTTATGAGGATTGACTTTAAGTCTAACTTGGTTTTGACAGTTAAGTAATCAAATACTAGCATAAAAACCTGGAGTGAGCCATAACTTTTCTGATTCTTTTTCTTTCTTCTTTTAAGTTGAATTTTGGTATTTGTTCATTTTTTGAAATGAAGTCTCACTAAGTTGCTTAGGCTGGCCTTCAACTCTGGGGTTAAGTGATCCTCCTACTTTATTCTCCAGCGTAGCTTGAACTATATAGATGCCCCCACTGTTGCTTTGAGATTTTTCTCCTTTCCTTCCCTTTCCCCTTCCTTTTCCCCTTCCCTTTCCCTTTCCCCTCCCCCCTCCCCCTCCCCCTCCCCCCTCCCCCCTCCCCCTCCCCCCTCCCCTTCCCCCTCCCCCTCCCCTTCTCTCTTTTTGGCCAGTCATGGGGCCTGAACTCTGGCCCTGGGCATTGTCCTCAGCTCTTCAGCTCTAGAGTAGTACTCTACCACTTGAGCCATAGCGCCACCTCCAGCGTTTTCTGCTTATGTGGTATTGAGGAATCAAACCCAGAGCCTCATGCATGCAAGGCAAGCACTCTACCACTGAGCCACCTTCACAGTCCCACTTTGAGATTTTTTCTGCTTCTCTGTCCAGTCCTATAATATAGTTGTAAATGTAGGGTTATATACATGTAAAATGTAGGTTGTAAATGAAGGCTGTTTTTGAGTCTATTTTCTTGAGCATGACTTAAGAAATTAACTTGTAGCTGGGCACTTTTGGGTCAAACCTGTAACCCTAACTACTCAGGAGGCTGAGATCTGAGGATCATGGTTGGGAGCCAGCCCAGGCAGGAAGGTCCGTGAGACTTCTATCCCTAGTTAACCACATAAGGGTGGAGCGGAGTTGTGGCTCAAGTGGTAGAGTGTGCTAGCCTTGAGCACAGAAAGCTCAAGGACAGTGCCTAGGACCAGTCCAAAAAAAAAAAGAAAACATGTAGTTTGAGACCTTAAAAGCACCCTCCCCCCTCTCCTCCTCCTCCTCCTCCTCCTCCTCCTCCTCCTCCTCCTCCTCCTCCTCCTCCTCCTCCCCCTCTTCTTCTTTTTCCTTTTCTCTTATGGTTCTTGTTAACAAGTACTGACTTTTAACTATCATTTCCTTTTTACCCTGTTTCCATCTTTGTTTGCAAGGCATAAAAACATGAACCAGAAGTTAAAAGTAGCTAGCTAAAAGGTTAATAAGCAAGACTGATCTTCAAATGCAGTACACTTTTCCATGGTAGAAAACACTGTTCTTTAAAAAAAAAGTCTCAATTATTAAAAAAATTAATTTAATTGCAAATGGACAAAACTACAGTTGTATCTAAAGACATTGCCTTTTGATTCCAAAGTGATTCAAAGGAATCCATGAATTAGTGTGATGAGTCTTTTCCATTAGCACTATCATCTCCCACTTTCACAAATAACTTAGTATAACCAATAGTAGCATATATTGAGTTTGTTAAGTGTTTTATGATCTAATTATAAATAAAGCAGTTAGTCAAAGAAGAAGCCTTAGAGATCATGTGGTTTCTTCTTTACATGAATTTATTATTTTGTGCTGGAGAACAAGCCCAAGTTTTGCATATGCCAGGCAAGTGCTCTACTACTGAGTAACACTTCCAAGCCCAATACAAATGTTATTCTTGGAATTCTTAACAAATAATCTGTGAGCCTTTTCTTGGACACTTTCCTGGATTGCTTTATTTGTCTCACATGGGATTGTTTGCAACAAGGTTCTTTCTGGGACCCTGTAAGGAAAAACAAGATTATCATGAATCTAGGAGATTTTAATTCTAGATTAAAAGGAAGCTCTATGAAGAAATACAGATTGAACATTGACACAGAAATTTCATACCTAAGTATCATTATCTGTAGCTTGAGGACTCACTATTGTGATACCTCTACTACTTCTGTGGCTCTTTATCTAGGCTGCTGTGATAGAGCATACATCCCAGGACAAATCCTCTGTCCCTCTTCCCAGCAACCATTCAACTCACCAAAGGGCTTAGTTCGATGTTTTGACTGTATAAGAAAGATACACTAATGTTAAATCTTAAGAAGCAAATAATTGCTTAGGAATTGCCTCATCCCTTTCTGAGCTACTGTAGCCCTTTACATATTAACAAAGTATCTTTTAAAATTTTTAGGTTTTTGACAACTATGCAGTCACGGTTATGATTGGTGGAGAGCCATATACTCTTGGACTTTTTGATACTGCAGGTAAAAACTTAATTTCTTTTATAATGTTTTGTATTATCTTTTTTTTTTTTTTTTTGCAGATGGGGGGGGGGGGGAGTGTTGGTTCTGGGGCTTGAACTCAGGGCCAGGGCTGTCCCTAAGCTTTTGTGCTCAGGGCTAGTGCTTTACTACTTGAACCCTACCTCCACTTCCAGCTTCTTTTGGTAGTTAATTGAAGATGAATTTTCTGCTGCTGGCTTTGAATCATGATCCTCAGATCTCAGCCTCCTGAGTAACTAGGGTTATAGGCTCAAAACACTGGTGCCTGTCTTATTTTTATTACCTTTAAAGTAGTTGTACAAAGGATTCTGATTTCCAGTAGCTACCTCAGATAGCTGGAGGTAGAGTTGTGGCTCATCACAAAAGCTAAAAGACAACACCACCCAGGACCTGAGTTTTAAGCCCTAAGACCAGAATAAAAACAAAAAACAAAAAAACTTAGAGGTATGGCTCAAGTGGTTGAGTGCTGTTATTATGAGCACAGGTTCGGACCTTATTGAGAATTGAACCATAGCTTTATATATCCTAGACAGTATGTTAGAAGAAACCTAAAAAATAGAGAAAATAATAGTTGAGAGACCCCCTCCACCCCTTGTATATGTGTCCTCTGGAGGCAATTTCTATGCAGAAAAGAACAACTTATGAATGGCTACTTGTGGTTGAAATTAACTTAAAAATTTTCAAATTGTAAAGCTCATTTTTGTAAGTCTTGGCATTTTTAATTGATACTTTAAAAAGTTGTACTGATGAATAATGCAGTAAAGTTCATTCCTGTCAAGTATTAAATTTGATTAATTCCTTCACAATAATCAAGATAGATATCGTATTTTATAATCCTAAATGTTTTTTGTGCCTTTTTTGCAGTCAATCCTTTCCTCCCATGACCTGTCCCAGACAATTACAGATCTGTTGGTTCTAGGATTGACCATGGCCTGCCCCCAGACAATTACAGATCTACTGGTTATAGGACTGCATCTGAATATTTTATGTTTGACTGTTTTTAAATAACATAATGTTTGCAAGAGCCAACTTTGCTAGGTGTGTCAACAGTTGTTTCTTTTTATTGCTGAGCAGTATTCCATGAATACAGCAGAATTTGTTTATCCATTTGTAAGTTGATGGACACTCCATTCTCATCTTATGATTGCTATATATGACTTGCTTTCATGGTTAGCTATTGTAAATAGTTATGAGCATTGGTATACAAATATCTCTTGGAATTTTGTTATTCAGTTCTTTTTGAATTGCTTGGATTTTTTTTTTTTTTTTTTTTGAGTGCCAGTCCTGGGGCTTGGACTCAGGGCCTAAATGCTATCCTTAAGATTTTTTGCTCAAGGCTAGCATTCTATCACTTGAGCCATAGCTTCACTTCCAGTGTTTTGATGTTTTAATTGGAGATGAGAGTTTCATGGACTTCCCTGCCTGGCTTGGCTTTAAACCTTGATCCTCAGATCTCACTAGGATTACAGGTGTGAGCCACTGGCATCTGACATTTAATTTGTAGGTATTTGTTTTTATTTAGTACAGATGTGAGCCCAGATGTAGTAGCAAAACTTTGTTTGTGTATGTGTGCCAGTCCTAGGGCTTCAACTTGGGGCCTGGGCCATGTCTTTGAGCTTTTTTGCCGAGGTTAGTGCTTTAAACACTTGAGCCACAGCTCTACTTCCAGCTTTTTTTTTTCTTTTTGGCCAGTCCTGGGGCTTCAACTCAGGGCCTGGGCTTACTTCCGGCCGCTTTGGTAGTTATTTAGAGATAACAGTCTCTGGGGCTTTCCTGCCTGGGGTGGCTTCGAACCTCAATTTTCAGATCTCAGCCTTCTGAATAGCTAGGATTACAGGCATAAGCCACTGGCTGAACAACAATTTTCTTGACATAAGTAAAATTATCTGAGAGAAAATATTGTCCAAATAATACATAAGCCACATTCCCCTCCCTTGCCCCTCTCCACCCTCCCAAACCCTAGGGCTTGATCTCAGGGCCTGGGCACTATCCCTGAGCTTCTTTTGCTCAAAGCTAGTGCTCCACCACTTGAGCCACAGGGTCACTTGTGGCCTTTTCTGTTTATGTGGCACAGAGGAATTGAACCCCAGGGCTTCATGCATGCTAGGCAAACAGTCTTCCACTAAGCTGCATTCCTGGACCTAAGCCATTTTATTAGAGATATTGTTCTATGGCTAATGTTCAGTGTGCTGTTAAGCTGCTTAATCTGTCAGCTGACTTCATTTTAATGCTATGAAGATAGTAAGATGCAATTGATGATTTTTCTCTCTAACTTCATTTCTTAGGGCAAGAAGATTATGACAGATTACGACCACTGAGTTATCCACAAACGGATGTATTTCTAGTCTGTTTTTCAGTGGTTTCTCCGTCTTCATTTGAAAATGTGAAAGAAAAGGTAAATTGGTTAGATACTCTTCCTCTATAAAAGGTGGTCATAGAATTTCTTTTGGCCTGTTGTAAGTAGTGCTTTAGAACTTTGTACATTATTAACACAGGTGTGTTTGAAATACCTTTCCTTTGTAGTGGGTGCCTGAGATTACTCACCACTGTCCAAAGACTCCTTTCCTGCTTGTTGGGACCCAAATTGATCTTAGAGATGACCCTTCCACTATTGAGAAACTTGCCAAGAACAAACAGAAGCCTATTACTCCAGAGACTGCTGAAAAGTTGGCACGTGATCTGAAGGCTGTCAAGTATGTGGAGTGTTCTGCACTTACACAGGTAAGAGTTGTGTGGAAGGAGTGATTCCATGTGGCTGAGTATGTCTAGGAACATTGGGATATGGACATTATTTCTTACAGTGGTCAACAATACTTAAAGCTGCTCAGGAAGAATGTGATCAGCTTCACATTGTAGATTATTTTACCAGAGGTCTCTCTTTATGGAAACCACTGTTCATTTCTAAAGCTCTCATGTTGATAAGCTCCCATGTTGTACTTTACTGAATGATTTGACATAGGCAAGGCCAAAAGCAAAACCCTTATGTGAGAGGTTCACATGTTTGTAGATACTTAAAAAGTAAGGATAACCGAGTGCCAGCAACTCAGGAGGCTGAGATCTGAGGATCACGGTTCAAAGCCAGCCCGGTCTAATAAACCACTAGAAAACCAGAAATGGAGCTTTGGCTCAAAGTGGCAGAACACTCTCCTTGAGCTGAAGAGCTCAGAGATAGTACCTAGGCCCAGAGTTCAAAAAGTAAGGATATGAATTACCCCTCCACCCCCACCCAGCCCAGAGACTTAAGTTTATTTTATTTCAGTTTCATTGGCTTTAATTTGCCAAATTCTACTGAGTTCACTTGATAGGCATAAACCATTGGTAATGCAGGATTTTTGGTCCAGTCTTTACTAATATTAGCCCTCAGATCATAATTCAGTCTTTCACACATTAACTATATACATGTCACACAATGCCTATGGAAAGATTAAAGAAGCTGCAGTGTTCAGAGATCTCAGAGGAAACTGATACCAACACAAGGAAATGTCTCTCTAGGGGATCAGATGAGTTTTAGGAACTGCAGATTCATCCCTCAAAGCACAATTGTCAAATGCAGGTCCATGTGAAAACCATTTCTGGTGTTGATATGAAGGGGGGTTGTATGTCATGGGCGCTCCAGCTGGAGCTCAGAGACAGAGGTAGAGGTCCTTTATTTTTGGCAGTTTTACTGGGTGACGCTTGAGACAGGTGACCAGATGACAGGTGAGTGCTGCTCCCTTGAGTTTTCTTTTCTTTTTTTTTTCATTTTGGTTGGTTGTGGGGCTTGAACCTCTTGCCCTGGGTGCTGTCCCTGAGCTCTTCAGGTCAAATTGAGTGTTTTACCACTTGAGTCACAGTGCCACTTCTGGTTTTCTGGAGGTTTATTGGAGATAAGTCTCATGGGGAGTTTCCCAGTTGCCCAGGCTGGCTTTGAACTTCGATCCTCAGATCTCAGCCTCCTGAGTAGCTAGGATTACAGGTGTGAGCCACTGGCTTCCGGCTTTGAATTTTCTTTTAGATATTTTTTCCTCTTGCTGATTTTTCTGGGGTAATTCACAGAAGCAGAGGATGAGTCAGTATTCGAGACTTTTACATCAAAGAAAGCTGTGTTGCCTATTTCTGCTATAGTTCCCACCCAGTCGTGCTCATTCTCGTGTGTGTGTGTGTGTGTGTGTGTGTGTGTGTGTGTGTGTGTGTGTGTGTGTGTGTGTGTGTGTGTGTGTGTGTGTGTGTGTGTGTGTGTGTGTGTGTGTGTGTGTGTGTGTGTGTGTGTGTGTGTGTGTGTGTGTCTTCAGCTCAAGGCTAGCGCTCTACCACTTGAGCCACAGCGCCACTTCTGGCTTTTTTCTTTTTGCTTATGTGATGCTGAGGAATTGAACCTAGGGCCTCAGGCATGCAAGGCAAGCGCTTTACCACTGAGCCACCTTCCCAGCCCCTAGCTTTTTTTTGTTGACTGGAGATAAAGGACTTTCCTTTCCAGGCTAGCTTTAAACCAGGACTCTTAAGATCTCAGCTTCCTGAGGAGCTAGGATTACAGTGTGAGCCACCAGTGCCCATCTTATTCGTGTGTTTTTGGAGGTATTCTTTTCTCATGTGGACTTTTCTTTCTAAGTGATATGACTGGAACTCTTAGGATTTGATGGCAACTTAGACTGAGGACTGGGAACAGTGAGTGTGAGGTTTATTTTATGTTTTGGTGTTCTGGGACTTGAACTCACAATATCTCTTACCTTTTTAGCTCAGGGTTCATGCTCTATCATTTGAGCCATAACTCCAAACCAGTTTTTTGTTTTTTGTTTTAAAAAATTGGTTAATTTAAGATAATCATGTGAACTATTCTGCCCTGACTGGCTTTGAACCTTATCCTTAATCTCAACCTTTTGAGTAGGTAGGATTATAGATGTGAGCCCAGTGCCCAGCTGTGTGAGAATTTTTACTAGTATGTGTAGTTCAGTTTTCTCTAGCTTCATTGGATAGCCAATCATTGAGTATTGTTCTCAGGGCAAAGAAAGTATTACGGAAATAATTAGCACAGCACTCTTAAGGTCTGTTGGTGCTGGTCCTGTGAAGTTTGAACAATGAATAGGTGTGCCTAATTAAAATGGAGATTACTGATAATTGAAGTCATTTATATTTATTATGCTTTTTCAAGTAATTGTTTACTTTTAGTATTTTTTTTGACACTTGTATTCTTGATTATATTTATACTGTGGCACCTATAAATGTATACATTGAAATTTCACTAGATGTTTTGAATATAGGCCTCAGTACCTAATAAGTACTGAGCTGTGCTGTGTTGGCTTTTTAAAAGATAAAACTTTTATGTTTAATTGGATAATCCACAGGAAACTTCAAGGATTAATATATTAGATTTTCTTTCTTTCTTTCTTTTTTTGTCCTGGGGTTTGAACTCAGGTCATTGGCATTGTCCCTGGGTTCTTTTGCTCAAGGCTAGTGCTCTACCACTTTGAGCTTTACTTCTGGTTTTTGAGTGGTTAATTGGAGATGAGTCTCCTGAGGACTTTTCTGCCTAGGTTGGCTTGGAGATCCTCAGATCTCATTCTCCTGAGTAGCTAGGATTACAGGTGTGAGCCACTGGCACTCAGCAGTCTATTAGATATTTAGACACATTCCCCAAAGCCTAGTTATTGTTTTCTTTTTTTTTTTCTGTCAGTATAACCCCATGGTAAATGTAGATATTTAAAAGTTCAGAATGGGGCGCTGGGAAGGTGGCTCAGTGGTAGAGCGCTTGCCTCACATGCATGAGGCCCTGATTCCTTAGCACCACATAAGCAGAAAAAGCTGGAAGTGGCGCTGAGGCTCAAGTGGTAGAGCACTAGCCTTCAGTTGAATTGCTGAGGGACAGCGCCTAGGCCCAGAGTTCAGGCCCCACGACCACCCAAAAAAAAAAAAAAAGTTCAGAATGGTTCACATCTTCCCTCACATTGTACAGACTGAGATGAAAAACAAAAAAAAAACTTGATGCTTTTCTCTGTGTTCTAGAACCATCTCCTGAAAAGTGTGTCAATGTGGGGAGGGTAGAAGAACACATACCTTTTTTTTTTTTGTCGGTCATGGGGCTTGAACTCTGGGCCTGGGCGCTGTCCCTCAGCTCTTCAGCTCAAGGCGAGCGCTCTACCACTTGAGCTACAGCGCCACTTCTGGTTTTCTAGTGGCTTATTGGAGATAGGAGTCTCACGGTCTTTCCTGCCCGGGCTGGCTTTGAACCGCGATTCTCAGATCTCAGCCTCCTGAGTAGCTAGGATTACAGGCGTGAGCCATCGGCGCCCGGCGAACACATATCTTTGAATGTCCTCTGTTATTGAGATAGGGCTGCTTTGGAGGAAATGGAGACAAGTAGGCCATGTTGACCTAATTTTAGGTCACTGACAAAGAGCTTATTTTAGGTAGTTGGGTGCTTCTGTGAAGCATGATTTTTAGTGTGTGAATAGGTTGATGTGTAAATTGCTTCACAGAGAACTGTGAGTTCTCTTTTTCCTTGTGTGTGTGTGCATGTGTGTGTGTGTGTTTGTGTGTGTATGAGAGAGTGAGTGAAAGAGAGAAAAAAGAGAACGATAAAGAATGTCAAGGTATAGCCTAGGCTGGCCCAAAGCCCTCTATCCATCATTATAGTGTAAGAATTGGAAGTTTAAAAAAGTTATATGGCAAGTACATTTTTCTCCTAATTTCTTACCAGAAGTTAGGAAAAATTAGAGGAGGAGTATATAGGAAATGGAGCCTGTAGTTTTGTAGGATTCCAGTTTCTCCTTGTAAAACTAAACTCTTCCTTTAAGTAAACAGTGGATAAAGCCAAGCTTAGTTTTGTTTCATAGGACATTTGTTGATTGTCTTCCATAAGTAAGAAGGAATTTTCATCTTCTTCTTTTGCTGGGTACGAAGGGCAGGGTTTAGTCTCCCAAGTGGTAGGATTTGCTTTGGAGGAAATGGAGACAAGTAGACCATGTTGAATATACCACCATTATCTTTCTTACTTTGGGATACACCTAATTTCTAATAATCCTTTTTTCTTTTCTTCCTTATAAAGTATATTTCCCTCTCTACCTCCTTTCTTTCTTTTATATTTGACTATGAGAGTTAACCCTAGACACATAGAAAAAAATTGTAGAGGAATTTTACTTTGTTATAGTATTTCTATGTAAATGATATAGGGAGAAGGAAACTTTTTAAAATTTCTTTGTCCCTTTTTTCTTTCTTTTTTTCCTTTTTTTTTTTTTTTTTTTGGTTTTGTTTCATTTTTGTTCCAGTCTTGGGGATTGAACTCAGTGCTTGGGCACTGTTCTTGAGGAGTTTTTTTTTTTGCTCAAGACTCTATGACACAAATATACTTCTGGCTTTTTGGTGCTTTTCATTGGAGATAAAAGCCTCATGAGCTTTCCTGTCAAAGCTGGCTTTGAACTGTGATCCTCAGATCTCAGCCTCTTGAGTTGGTGTGATTACAGGCATAAGCCACTGCTGCCTGTTTTCTTTGTCTTTTTAATTACTGATTTTTCATCTATCTATCTATCTATCTATCTATCTATCTATCTATCTATCTATCTATCTATCTATCTATCTATATCTATCTATCTATCTATCTATCTATCTATCTATCTATCTATCTATCTATCTATCTATCTATCTATCTATCTATCTTGTATCTAATGGAATGGTGGGTACCTACCATTCCTCTGGGATGCCACAGATGGAGTAAGGTATGAAGAGTGAACAACACCTGGGGTAGTTTGTGGTTGGCACTTAATTGTTGGAATTATGTTCTGGGACTTCGAGTACATTTTTACTTGTGATCACATTGTTACATAAAAAACATGTGAAACCTGTTTGGTTGGTAAACCTGTGGCTTCAGGTTTAGGTGAGTCTATAGACCTGGGCCCAAGGTACTACTGCTACAGAGTCACAGTCAGCTTGGAGTTTCTGGCTGAGGTGTAAGTGCATTTCTCCATCTTAATACCTGTAGATGTGACAATTTTCTTTGTTCTCACTCCATGCTTTATGCTCTGATACCCATGCAGACATCGTAAAGCATTGGACTGCTTGCTAAAAACCCATTCTAGGACCCCATTCTTTGTTTTTGTATGACTTGGGTGGTGGATACTGGCTCTAATAACATTGCTGAATAACTGAAGTGTATGCTGTTTCTAGAGTCCCTTCTTTAAATTCCTCCCCAGTTGCTACTGTTGCACAGTAAACAGTCCTAAATGTCTGAACCTTTTTGTTTGGGAAATTGCTCTACTCTGAAATGCTGATTAATCCCATCCAGATATGTCACTGAACCGAGAAACATGTGGCATGCCTCTTAGTCTGCTGTTTGTGTCCTTCAGTTATTCAGGGGCTGAATTCACACAAGCCTGAAATGATAAATCTATTTCCAACATGTATGCCCTTCTTACCTGTAGAAATATCGAGAACTCAAAAGACTTAATTGTCCATCATGTGTCTTAGCTGTACATACCCAATTTTCCTCTCCTGGCATTATTATTAAAGTTTTTCCGCGCTAATGTCAGTTTGTGATTATTGTAGAAGTTAAGATATTACATTTTCTTAAAAACTGCTTGCTCAGTTAACCTTCTTTTGAGATGATGATACTCTTGAATTGACTATTCTAGCATCTTGGCATTTAATTTTCTTAAAAAACATTGCTTCTGTGAATTCAGCTCACTTAACCCGGACTGCTGTTGTATCTGCTAGTCTTCTAATCCTCTAACCTGGCTGCTATTCTCTCTCCTCCCCTCTGTCTTGTAGAGAGGTCTGAAGAATGTGTTTGATGAGGCTATCCTAGCTGCCCTCGAGCCTCCGGAAACTCAACCCAAAAGGAAGTGCTGTATATTCTAAACTGTTTTCTCCTTTCCCTCTTTGCTGCTGCTTCCTGTCCCACCACTGTAGAAAGATCATTTAAAAACAAAGGAATAAAACCATCCTGTTTGCAAGCCTCTGCGTCTTTTTACTCACCACCTTAGAACAACTCTGTATTAGTTTTTGATCAATTAATGCAATATCTTACGGAATATTTTTTTGTGATCGATAGTCAAGTTGGACTTGTTTAACTTTTTGCTGCTTGAGTTGCCTGATGCTCAGAGCTTCTTGGTTTGGATTACTATTGCAAAAGGGAACATGGCTTGTTACTAAAAATGTCTACTGGGAGAAAACAAGAAAAGTTTAATACTAGATAATTAGTTCTAGATGGAGAAAGTAACACAAACATCATTTTACTCATGATGAATTGTTAATTGTAATTGCATGATAAACTATGAAAAAAAGGGTGACTTGCTAGTAGAGTATAATGGGGAAGGGAGGATTCTTTTCTGGTTTTCCTTTGTGCAGTGAAACTTTGTGTTGCTATTGCTTTGGCCGTTTTGTGCTGTAGTGGAGTATTTGTCAGTCTGGGGTGGGGAAGATAATGATGTATCTGCTTACTGCTTTATGAATTCTTTGTTATTATCTTCTAAGAATAGCATCCATTTTAACAGCTGACTTAAGGTTTGTAATGTTGAAATGTAAAGTTGCCATCTTTATACTTTCCTGCTTCTGATTTTATTGTTGTGAGGGAAACATACAATTGTGGTCACCTTTAAATTTTGAAATTAAAAGTATACAATTGTTTGTATAAATGCCTGATGAAGCTTTATTCCTGTTGCACTTTCTGATTCTAACTTTATTATGTATCAGGTACCTACTTCTTTGCTTCCAAGAATTCCTTGGCTCAGTTGGGATACAAGGAGTTGAAAGTGAATCTCTTGCAGTTGCCATATCCATGCTGTCTCTGCCTGTGCCTTCCATATAATATAGATGCCTCTGTCCTGGCATCCTCTCTGTCCTGTGTGACATCCAGCTGTTTCATTTGAATGCAGAGCTGCTTCCCTTATTTCTATGTAAAAAGTTTCAGCAACACATCACAAAACTCGTATGAATGAATAAGTGACACTGTGCTTATTTGCTTCTTGTGACATACATTGGTTTACAAAAAGCCATCTCAAAGGACCACTGGCTCACTCATGAATATCTACTCCTACATTGCTGAATTATTCCGGTAACTTGGTGATGTGAGATTATTAGGTTAAGATTTAGGGTTGTTTTTAATGTTCCTTTGCCCACTCTTGGGGGTTTGACTGTCTTAAGCTTGAACACTCGCTGTATTATATTGAAAATCAGACTGCCCATTTCTTCTTTCTACCCCTTTCAGAAAGGCCTAAAGAATGTGTTTGATGAAGCAATATTGGCTGCCTTGGAGCCTCCAGAACCGAAGAAGAGCCGCAGGTGTGTGCTGCTATGAACATCTCTTCAGAGCCCTTTCTGCACAGCTGGTGTCGGCATCATACTAAAAGCAATGTTTAAATCAAACTAAAATTAAAAATTAAAATTTGTTTCTGCAATAATGACAAATGCCCTGCACCTACCCACATGCACTCATGTGAGACAAGGCCCGTAGGTATGCCCCCTTCGCCTTCCAACTACTAGTTAATTTTGATAATTGTGTATTGTCAGAAAGTGATCAGTACTAGTTTTTGTTGTTTCAAAAAAAAAACTTTTTTGTTTGTTTAAAAGCAAGGCATGCTTGTGATGACTGTAACAGACTAATTTTGAATTGTTGAAGCTGCTCCCTGGTTCCATTTTAGACAGTAATCTGGGACATTTTAGAGACTTTTTTGGGGGGTGGGGGTCATGTGTGTGGGATTCATTTTTTAGTATTTTTTAAAAAAAGAAATTAACCAGTGGACAGCTCTTCGGGGAGGAAGACGGATTATTTCCACATTCCACTTCCTAGATCTAGCATAGAAAATGTGTTCCCCATCTGGTGCTCTTAGGAAGGAGTATAGTAAATGCCTCATTTAGTAACATACTCCTTTTTGAAAGTTGCCTTTTTTTCTCCACCCTTGAGTAGATCCAGTGTTTGATGAAGCTCATGGAAGTGGGTGGAAGCCGTCTTGCCCTCCCCTTTTCTAGGATGCACTCTGTATGTGACTGTGACTTCCAAGGAAATCTGTTTGCCATTTGCTTTTTTTTTTTTTTTTTTTTTGAGGGGGAAGTGATTTCTAACTTCTTTTACCTCATAAGTGAAGAAAAGTATTGCACCTTTTGAAACACACCAAATTGATTGACTTCATTACATATTTTTTTTTCTTGTCAGTCATTGTCTTATGTACTTAGCATAGATTTGCAAGTCAGTAGTGTGTGGTCTTCCTAGAAGCCAGCTGAAGATTGGCCCACAGAGAAACTCTGAGAGGGGTGCTGGAAGACAGATGCCTGTGGGATGACTGGCATCCTTTCTGGTGATGAGGCTGCCAGGCCTGCTTCTTGAGAAGCTGGGGCCGGTAGAAGGGCAACACTTAACCAACATGGGGACCAGTCAGGGGAATCCCTTTTTTCTGTCTTGCATATAAGGAACCCTTGAGCAACCTGCTGAAGCTCTCCGGTTTAATTAAAATGGCAAAGAGTCTTATTAAGACTCTTTTATTATAAGTGTTAATAGGGATTTTATCAGACTATTTCAGTTGCAGTTTCCAATTTTTAAAAATGTTTAGGTAATCTTTTCCACGTTCCTTAAATCCTAATTCTTGTAGATTCATTAGTATTGAACCATTGCTTTCTCATGTCTCAATTCTTTGTATATGCGTTCTTTTCAGATGTATTAAACAAACAAAACCCTTCACAAGCCAGCCTGAGGGTTGTTATTTTCCCTCCGCCTCTTACTTTTCAGATATTTAGGAGTGGGAACTTATTACATAACATCAATTTCTAACTTTTTTGTTTTTGGTTGGTCATGGGGCTTGAACTCAGGGGCCTGAGCACTGTCCCTGAGCTTTTTTGCCCAAGGCTAGCACCCTACCAGTTTGAGTCACAGCGCCACTTCCAGTTTTCTGGTGGTTAGTTGGAGATAAGAGTCTCATGGACTTCCTGCCCAGACTGGCTTTGAACTGCGATCCTTACATCTCAGCTTTCTGAGTAGCTAGGATTACAGGCATGCTAGCAAATTTTGGGATAAGAATTTATAAAGTGTTACTTCTTTTCTGGCAATAAGTTTGAAATGTTTTTCTCTCTTAATGTTCAGGTTTATGTTTTCTGCCTTAAGTGTTGTCTGCAGCTCTAAAACTCCTTCCTTTATATACTTAGGCCATAATGTTGTTCTCGGTGCAAAAATGTCCTCACTGCTTGTTGCTCATGTTTTTGGAAGGAAATCAGCATACTCTAGTGCACAGTTTAGTTGGAAGGCAGCCAGTTTCTCAATTGTCTGCATTAATGTCCTCAAACTTGATTATTAATTAGAGTGCAGCCACTTCTAGGTGGTTGTCCCAAACTATTAAGACTCAGATTCTAGATCCCTGTTTTGTGAATCTGAATCTTTTTTTTGGGGGGGGGGGCACTACTGTAATTTGAACTCAGGTCTCTCTCTTTCTTGCTAAGTAGGTACTCTGCCACTTGAGCCACTCTGCCAGACTTGAATTGTTTCATTTGGTGGCAAGAAGGATATATTTACCTGAGGACATTTTACAGATCTGTATGAGAGTCTTAGAACTTTAAGATAATTAAGTATAGCTTCCCTATGGGGAATAATGTTTGGCATGATTCCATACTGTGCTAGAACTAAGTGGAGTTCCTTGGGATTGGCCAACAAAGATACAGATCTAAGCTTCACTAGGTGTCCTCCCCCCCCCCCCCCCCCCCCCGCCCCGAGTCCTAGGCTTGAGCTCAAGGGCCTGGGTGCTGTCCCTGAGCTTCTTTTGCTCAAGGCTAGCACAGCTCCTCTTCTGGCTTTTTTGGTAGGTTTGGTGGAAGGAAAAGTCTCACAGACTTTTCTGCCAGGCTGGCTTTGAACTGAGATCTCAGATTTCAGCTTCCAGAGTAGCTAGGATTGCAGGCATCAGCCACACCAGTGTATTTTATTCTTTGTTGACCATACTAGGGAGAGGTACCTGGGTCATGTTATGTTATCCTGAGAGCAGAAATACGTATATACCAACTTATAGTAAAGTGACATTATGGGCCCTTGATTATTTTGCTGTCTTAAGAGTAGAGCCAAAATTTGGTTCTAAAAAATAGTCATTGGATGAGTACATGACTTTCAGATGGCGTAAGTCAAATAAAACAGCTCATGTTTTTGTTTTTTTATTTTTTGGGGGGGTCTGGTCATAGGGCCTGAACTCTGGGTCTGGGCTCTGTCCCTCAGCTCTTCAGCTCAAGGCTAGCACTCTTACCACTTGAGCCACAGCGCCACTTCCGGCTTTTTAATTTTTTCTGCTTATGTGGTGCTGAGGAATTGAACTGAGGGCCTCATGCATGCAAGGCAAGCGCTCTACCACTGAGCTACCTTCCCAGCCCAAGCTCATGGAGTTTATTCGGTAATTAGGTATACACAGAAGAACAAGGGTGACAAGGGATTGGTTGAAGGTAACATTTTCTACTGAAATACTTTTAATTTGACTTCTACTTATCTGAAAAACAGGTAGGTAGCAAATTGATGATGGCAACATGATTTTCTATTTGTTTCTCCCCCCCCCCCCCCCCATTGAGCAAGTTTATTTATAGTCTTGGCTTAGCAGATGACAGATACTGTCCAGATAGTGTGATGATACTTGGCTTGTGGTGGCCAGATTTACAGTACTGGGCTAGGAATGTAGCTTAGTGGTAGAGTGCTTGCCTAGCATACATGAAGCCCTGGGTTTGATTCCTCAGTAATAATAAATAGAAAAAGCTGGAAGTGGTGTTGTGGCTCAAGTGGTAGAGTGCTAGCCTTGAGCACAGAGAGGCTCAGGGACAGTGCCCAGGCCCAGGATTGGGAAAAATAATACAAAACTTAGTTGAGTACAGTATTAGTATTTAACTACTGCTCTAAAATGTGTTTTACATGAAGATCTTCGAAGTAGGCACTGTTAATTTATTAAAGCCGTGTGTGTGTGTGTGTGTGTGTGTGTGTGTGTGCGCGCGCGCGCGCGCGCGCACTTGCATGTGCTTGTACGTGGGCACGTTGGTACAGAGGCTTGAACTTAGCATCTTGAGCCCTCCCTTTGCTTTTTTATACTCAAAGGGGGCTTTGCCACTTGATCCACTCCTCTAGCTCCATCTTTTTGATAATTAATTGGAGATAAGAGTCTTGATAGACTTTCTATCCAGGTTGGCAGATCTCAAATCTGAGTACCTAGGAGTGAGTAACTAGTGAGTGAGCCTCTGGAACCTTGCTTAAGGCTTCAGTCTTAGAGTACTTTGCCATTTGAGGAGTATATTTGTTTCAAGTACAAGGAAAAGATAGTACAAGGAAAAAAATGTAGTATTTCCTTGATTTTAAGGTGTTTTTTCTCATGTTTTCATATAATCAATACCTTCAATTTGTGTACATTTGAAGTTGGAGCATTTTTTCTCTAAATAATCTCATCATTGAATTGATTGTATAATTGTTATTTTCACAGAATGGATAAAATAGCACTTTTCCCCTGATTTTTGGTGGCTATTTGGGTTCTAGGTGCTAAGAAACTCAGTATACAACAGCCCCACTCAAGAAGGATTGAAAGAAACTTAGTTCTTGGTGGAAATTTGTCATGTAACAGTGGGCAAAAGCCTTAGCATCCCACCTGAAGTAGCAGCTTACTATCAGGAAGAGCTGATGAGAGTGTTTCTGATTGGTTATATGAGGAAAGTGACTTTTAGTCACTCCTATTTGAGCTTCCTTGTTCTCTGTAAGTCTTATCCTGAAATCACCCAACTTTGGAACATAGTGATATAATTATATAGAAGATTTCACTAAACCATCCTGTTTTAAGGACCATTTGAATACTTTTAAGTATTGCCTTGAGTCTTCCATAGTGCCTCCACTATTTTTTTTTTAAGCTTCATTTTATTAGCTATTGCTCTAATAACGATACATTAGAAACCATATGGAGAGTACCTTAACTACATTAAACATTTATTTTTCTCACTTCTGATTAGTTAGGTATGCCTTTGGGCTTCAGATTGGGCTCATTGGGGACCTGTTTTTGTTTTGGTTGGTTGTGGGGCTTGAACTCTGGGCCTGTGCGCTGTCCCTCAGCTCTTCAGCTCATGGTGATTGCTTGACCACTTGAGTCATAGTGCCGCTTCCAGTTTTCTGGTGTTTTAATGGTGATAAGAGTCTCATGGGCTTTCCTGCCTGGGCTGGCTTTGAACTGTGATCCTCAGGTCTCAGCCTCCTGAGTAGCTAGAATTACAGGCATGAGCCACTGGTGCCTGGTGGACCTGTGTTTCTGGAGCTTCCCTGCAGGAAGCAGCAGCTGCCTGAAAAGCATGGGAGGAAAAGATCAAGCATGTCGAAAATTTCTCATATTGAATTGCCCAAAGGATATCAAAAGGCAAGAATTATAGGTGTAAGTCTTAGTGCCATTCAGTCATTTTTATAGTCACTTGGTAATTTTAATAATTTTTTTTCTTCCTTTGTACCAGCCCTGGAGCTTGAACTCAGGGTTTGGGCACTGTCTGAGCTTTCTTGCTCAAGGCTAGTGTTCTACCAATTGAGCCACAGCTCTGGCTTTTTTGGTGCTTAATTGGAGATAAAAGCCTTACAGATGTACTTTGAACTGAGATGCTCAGATCTCAGTCTCCTGAGTAGCTAGGAGTATAGGGGTGAGCCACTGGTTCCCAGCTAATAATGTTAAATATTTTTAAGCATTTATGGTACTAAAGATTTAGCAGAGAGTAAAGTAGATTCTCCTGACTTCTAGAAGGAATTTTCTTTTTCTTATGATTTTGATAGCTACTCCTTGAATAACTGTGTTGTCTCATCCTACTTTGAAGTGCTCGAAGAGAGCCAAAGGCTTGCTGTGTGTACCTACAGTGAGTGACATATACTCAGTTGTCAGTTATTGAGCACCTTCTGTACTGGGCATTGGAGACATTGGAGAAAATTAACAGTTTCAAGCAGTGCGGATGTAAGCATGCATAGAGGTAAGGACTTTCATTTAAATATTCCACTGGGGACTCTTTCCATTGTATTTCAGGCCCACGTGCTACATTATAGATGGTCACTGAAGCCCCTAGTGGGCATCTGGGCCACTGGAGCCCATGAAACCATTGTACCAGTTAGGAAAGCATTCAGAGACATTTACATGTTATAGTGATATTCCAGGTTTTTTTTAAAAAGAACATTTGGCTGTCTTTTGCTATGATTATCACAGTAAATGCACAACTACTTTGACTAGGTTAGTACTATTGCCTTAGATGTAGTGTTCTTGTTTAATGCACATTTGCACAGTTGTGGAGGTGAGTTATTACACATCATACTTAGCAATTGGGGTTTAAAATAAGCTCAGAAGAACAACTGGGCAGGGCCCATTTGTACGCCTATAGTCCTCAGGCTGTAATCATGGAATAGCTTCTGTTGTAGCCCCTTAATTTTGCACTTGGTGAGGTAAAGTGAGGAAATTGGGCGATTTGGCTGTTACTGCACACGTGTATG